GTGACCAACACGGCATGGAAGGGGTCAAAGTCCCAAACCCAGAGCCTTTCCAGATGGGGCTGCTCACCTGCCGGTTAATTCCCACAGGCAAGCTGGAGCCGCTGGTGGCTCTACTCATGGGGGCCACGATGGCCACTCGGGTCGGAGAGGGAGCCGACTGTCTTTTCTTTGGTGGCAATGCTGGCGGAGGGCTGGGACAGAAGGAGAAATCCCATCACACCAAACAACCCAAATACAACTCGCTGAAGTGATATTAAGGCACGGAATTATTCATTACTCATTATTAGATACTTCACACCTACTTTTCACACCTGCAACTCCCATCCCACTCCCCTTCTGCCAAAATAAACCTATCGATGCCAAAAAAACTAAAATCAGAAAAGTCCTTTCTTTTCCTTCCATAATAAATTGGAGCAGTTTTCACTTGGCTGAGGCTGAAAGGCAAGCCGCTGGGAGTTCTGGGAGTGTGTGGCAGGGGAGGGCGCTGGGGCTGGCTCACGGCCTCTGAGGTGCACCCCCCGCCCCGGAAGGCCAAACTTCCACGGCTTCCACCAAGCAAGGGCTCCAAGTTCCCACCCTAATGGCACTATCTACTTCTCAGCTCATGCTGCATCTGCCCATCAAATTATGTCACAGGGGAGAGTGCCAGAAAAACAGAAAATCACCTATTATCAACCACCCGAATGCCAGGGAGGGGGGGTTTGGGGGGTGCGGCCTCCTCATCGGCACAGTCCAGGGGCAGCTCGGCCGACGGCGACATGGCGGCTGTCTTGTTCAGGATCTCCACCTCGCGATCCGTCAGGGGGAGCTCGGACTGGCTGAGAATTGAAAAGAACTTGGGGTTACAGAAGGCCACAGAGCACAAGCAGGTCTGGAGAGGGTCAGATGTGACCAGGGCAGGGACACGATGGGGGCCGGATGCAGAGCGGTGGACACCACGCCCCGTGCTCCACGGTGGAGTGGGGTGTCGGGTCTGGTTTGGTCACCAACGCACGGTAGGCGCTTGGCCAAGTCCCGACCCTGCCTCTTAGTTTCCTTGGCAGTAGGAGGGCTCCTTAGACTCGATGGTCTAATGGCTCCTAAAACACTCTAATTTGTTTTCTATCTGTCCCAGGCGCTCGTAGTTGACAAAGCCAAAGGCTCTTCGCCTAATCCCAAAACCCAACCTTCAAAGTTCTTTCCGATTACAGAAGGAGGCTGGTCGGGCAGGTGCGTGCTCGGGCCACCTGAGGAGTCGCTGTGGACTCCGGGACCGGGCACACGGCAAAGCGTGTGTGAGCTCTGCGCACTGTGGTGACAGCCGTGCTCAGTGGGTCTCACCGGGGGACGAGAACGGGCCTCGCGCATCCTGGGACCTGCGCTGCCTGGACTGGCCGCCGCCCAAGGCCAGAGCCTCGTGAGCGCGGGGGCTGGAGGGTGCAGTCGGCACTTACCCATCGGGTTTGCAGGCTGGCGAGCTGGGCTTCACTGGGCTCGTGGGAGACGGACGCCCCTGCTTCTCAGTGGTGAGCCTGACCAGCTCCTACCCGAGAGAAAAGCGGTGAGGCACGCGGAAGCTTACGGCCGAGGCCGCCCCGTCGGTCGGCCGTCTGTCCTCCACCGCCGTCCTGCTTTTGTGCCCCGAGGATTCCCACACGCCCTAAACCCAAGCATCATTTGACTTAGGTACTCTGCATGATTTCCCAAAATGTCCCCTACCCTCTAAAACACCTTCATAGCACATCAAAAAGTTTCGAATGCGCAAAGATACTTCCTCTTGGAAGGGGGAAGTGGCAAACCCCACTGTCTCAAAATGACTAAGTTCATCACACAAATGAAGTTCCCGGTAGGACAGACCACGGCTGGGCGCGGGGACCCCTGCCCTTCAGCTCTCTGAGGACGTCAAACAACGTGCAGGACACTGTCCACCAGTGACCACTAATGACCGCTGGCTCCGGTGAGCCGGTTGCGGTGTGGTGGCAGCTGGGACCGGGGACCGAGATGACTGGGTGGGCTCTCGGTCGACGAACAGAAAGTTAAGGGCATGTTCCCAGCAGACAGATGACTTAAAAAACGTTTCTAAAATAGAAAAGGAGGAGGAGGAGGAAATGATACCAGGGCTACTTGTTTTGCCAATTAGAATGTGTTTCCCCTAGTTCGATGAGTTCTGACAAACACACGTACCCCAAGAAGCACCATTCGAAAAATACGGGGCACTCCCGCCACTCTCCCCTCAACCTGTCGCACCCCAGCCACTCCGCAGCTTGTATTTCTCAGATCACTTTCGCCTAGAACTTGAAATAAGTGGAACCATCCAGCATATACTTTTTCTTGGCCATCTTCTTTTTCTAAACAGCTTTATGGACACGTGATTCACATGCCACAAAGACGGCTTTTAGTCCACTACAGAGCTGTACGACCATCACCACCACTGATTTTAGGACTTTTCAACAGCATATACTTTTTCGTGGCCATCTTCTTTTTCTAAACAGCTTTATGGACATGTGATTCGCATGCCACAAAGTCCGGCCATCCGGGGTGTACGATTCAGTGGCTTTTAGTCCACTACAGAGCTCTACGACCATCACCACCACTGATTTTAGGACTTTTCATCACTTCCAAAGACTGTACCCATTACTAGTCCCTCGTCATTTCCTGCAGCCCTCCCAGGCCAGGCAGCCACTAGCCTACTCTCCTCCTGCTCAGTGGAACACCCACGTTTCTGTGTGCATGGATAGTCTGTTCCTTCTCATTGCCGCGTTGTATTCCAGTGTGTGGATAAGCCCACAACTTCTTCATCCGTTTCTCCTGATGACGGCCATCTCGGTAGGAGCTACTGCATTGCAGGATCTGTTAGGCTTTCAGCACTAATGTCTATTTAGAAAGTTACAGGGGCGGTGGCAACGGACGCAAGTGGGTAAGACAGTGGCATGTCCCCAAATCAGAATGCGAAGCTTCTCCAAACTCAAAGCAGCACACGCAGGAATCACCACTTACGTGATAAGGCGGAGAGTTAGTACCCTTCCTAGAGCAAGAGCTCTTTCAAAAACACAAAAACTAGAAAAAAGATGAATACACCAAAAGAAATATCAGAGTGCAAACAGCAACGGTGAAAAATCGTGAGTCCCCAGCTTTGATGGTAATGAAACAGAAACGTCCAGGAGTGGTGGGTGGGAGCACAGTTAGACGGCCTTTCCAGAGGATGACTGTGTACACGTCTGACATGTGCCAGTCTATGTCGAAAGCCTTAAATATCTGCTTTCTTTTGATAATAATTTAGCCCAAGGAAAATACCACAGATGTGTGTAAAAATTGAGCCACGAAGGATGGTGATCACAGCATCGTATGTAATGGATAAAATTAGACTACTCCGTATTCCAAAATTAAATATTCAACACTAGGTTCTGATACAAAAATTATGACAGAACCAAACAAAGGACCATGATATCGCCATTAAAAGCCAACTCACAACAAGAACACATGACAGCTTGGAAAGACAATGAGCTGCGATGTTAAGCAGGAAAACAGCCCAGGTGGCATACTGGTGAACACGCAGTGTGTTTTGGAAACAAAACCAAACCAAGAATACACGTATAGAAAAAAAAAATATGGCTATGAAACACTCCTTATTTTGTTTGTGTTTCTCTGCTTTTTCTAAACTTTCTACAATGGATATCTATTACTTCTGAAATACTAATTTAAAAAATTCATGAGGAAAGGCATACTCCATATAACCAGAACCAGTGTCACCCGACTAACAGCCGACATCTGTCTCCTCTTAGAGAAACGCGGAGAATTGAGATCTCTGAGAATCACGTGCTAGAAGGTGAAAGGTTAGTATTTTCCTCTTACTAAGTTTAGACGTTAAATAAAATCTCACAAATATTTAAGGAATAGCTACCTAAGTGGTGATCACAGACAGGGTGGAGATGAGAGACAGTAAGGGGTATGAAGGCTGCACCCCTCACTGGGTGAAGGCAGCCTGTCCTACAAGCGTGTCGCCAGGCCACAGAGACCACAGCACGGGGAGTCGGAGGGCGAGGCCAAAGTGCCTCGTGAACCCCCACATTCACATTCACTCTTCTTTATAAGCAGGGCCAAAGGAACAGTACGAAGTCTGCATACTTGCATCCCCCACTAATTCTTTACTGATTCATAAGCAATTATAATCAGAACATCATCTTTCTGGAGAGGCAGCTGGGTAAACTCGACTAATGAACGATGGCAAGAGCATCATGGAATGACAGGCACATGTGCAAGCATGCAGCCGAATTCCAAGACGACACGATGATCGTCGTGATGGCAGCGACGATCCCTTCCACCAGTTCACTGGCCTCGGCTGGAAGAGAGTGGAAGGGGGGCAGCTTTTCGCATTTACTCCCCACCGACCTCGCGGCCCCAGGAGACGAGCCAGGAGGTCTGAGGTCTGGACTTGCCTTCGCCATTGCGGACAGAACCCTTAGCATGTGCACGTGTCCGGCTACCGTTCCAACACTGGAATCTCCTTGGCAGCTGCCTGACTCCTCCCATGGAAGGCGGGGTCCCTGAGAAGGACGTCAGGCGCTTCGACCCTCTTGAGGCACAGGTTAGGAAAGACGGAGAAGGCCAGCCCCAGGCTGTGTGTCTGTAAACTAGACAACTGCCGGTTCACCGCGAAGCACTTTCCAAAGGCCAAAAGGTATTTGGAAAATTATCTTTCTAAATATATAACACTTTATCTCCATGTTCATTTTACTGCTACTAAAAATGATCGTGGAGATGCTTCTACAAATCCAAGTCCAGCCCTGGAGCCCACGTAGGAGAGAAACAGTTCCATCCATTCCCGGCTTCTCCTTGGCACTAAGACAAAGCCCCAGCCTGGCAGAGGGGACGCGGGTACATGAGACTCACTGCCACGCTGCGCCTGTCCCAAAGGGCCTCAAGGATGCCGCCACCTCATGGCTGGTGTCCTCTGGGTTCACACAGAGGGAAGCATACTTTAACTGAAAAGTGCGCCATTCTGCAACCTGTGGTCTGTCGCTCCTGTTCACGTCCCCTCACTGCCTGTTCTCTGTCCCTCTCTGGGCCTGCAACTCTCCTGGGTTCAGGGACCAGAGCCCAGGGAGACGTGTGCTTATGGCCATGACGCAACCTCTGTGCCAGTTAGCTGTTCTAGGCCAAGTTGTCCACTCGGGACACTGATATAGGCCAGTGGGGAGTCTCCTGTAACTGAAGTGGCGTAACAAAATCACAGGGGTGGCCTGCCCCAGTGTGACGTTTTTATGGTGATGTTTTTAAGGGACATTCCCTGCCCACATCCAGCAACAGAACAGAGGGAATGTCTTCTTTCTCCTACACAATCAAGGAGAGGCAGGGAGCTAAGCAGGCAATGGCAGACGTGGATGGGGGTGCCAGGCGACTCCTGGAGGTTGATGCCCAGTCACACAGCAGCCAGGAGACCTCAGATGCAGCCCCACAAAGGGGACACCGAAGAGACCCACAGAGAAGTAGTGCTGGGCTCAGTCTGTATGGGGGAGGGGCACAATTTAAAAACTGGGCACCTTTGAGTCCAAAATAATAAAAGCATGTAGTTGGGGCGAAATGTTACAACTCGAACAGTAAATGCTTGTAGGAGTCACCTGAAAAGGGCTCTAAAAGAAGCTTAAAGATGATCGAAAGACCTTCTCTTGACCTTTGTAACTAAGCAGAGCCATCAGGGCGAGGAAACACACGTGGGCTCAAAAAAAAAAAGAAGATGCTGCCGCTCCGACGCCCGGCCTGGGTGGGGGTGTACCCCGACACCCCGGTGCCCTCCCAATGAAAAGCCGTAAATGTTTGGTGTAGTCGTCACGTTAGCAGATTTACTAAAAAAATAAATAAATAAATACTTAAGTGAACTGCTCAGAAAATAGGTTGGGGAGGGGTAATTAGAGGAAAGAGAGGAATCTTACTTTAAACCACCCTATTATTTTAACAACAACAACAACAAAAACACCCCCAAACCCTGAATGCCCGAGACTGAAACGGAAGCGTGATGGGTCTTTTTCTGACTTACGGAAGTGTGTGTTCCGCACGGTGCCTGGAGGAAGACTTCCACTACATCTAACCAGTGGTCTCTTCCCTTGCTTCCTCTCTTCCTTTCCTCCTCCTCCTTTTTAAGCAATGGAACACTTAACCCACTGCAGATGGTAATCACTCGAATGCAGATGAACCTAACTATGAATCCCACAAAGAACTATGCGACATAAGTGCAAAAGGACAGATAACCTAAAAGTCAAAAACAGCTCCGAAACGCCTTTAATAATTTTTAACAATCACATTGACGGAAGTCGCTGGTGCTGTTATTCTGAGACCACTGCGTCTGTGTCGTGGGAAAAAGCGAATGAGCAATTATGTTGATATTGTTGAAAACTGGGATTTTTCAGTGCGGAAGGAAGAAAATTAAGATATAAATTGGAAGAGTTTAGGTGAAAACCCCGGTGGTCCTGAATGCGAATTGAAAGAACTACCATAAACTCAAGATGCGCTTTGTTTTAAAGAAACTAAACACGGGACCACTCAGCA